ATAGTGGTATCATACTTAGAATACCCTTGCTCACGGCTATAGTCGTCAGATTGTTTAGGCTATTAGTAGGTACTTCTGTTCGACTCCCGGATTAACGACCTCACCAAACATACCAAACATTATGCCCTATAATTGATAGGGCACAATTGTCCAAGGTGTTTGAGCTATTAACAGCGCAAATCCGTCCAAGCTATCCAAGGTTTCGGAACAAGTCGTCTCAACCCCCAAATCAATGACGCTGTCAACCATACCAATTATTCGCGCTACGATTGAGAGCGCGAACCTGTCCAAAGTGTAAGTTCAATTCTATGGGGACCTGTCATGCATTTCGACCCCCATTGGATGACAGTGGCATCAACTATACCAAACATTATGCGCTACAAACCTCTTCATGCAAAATAGTCAAGCTTTCCAAGCTTATGGAAGCGCACTTCTCGCCCCTCAATCCAATGGCAGGATCCCCCATACTATCTTTAATGTGCTGTTATTGATAGGGCACCCTTGCAAGCTGTTGATAGTGCATACGAATCTAGAGTGTCCAAGCAATTCGAGGGTTTGGGGAACAGTCGTCTTGACCTCCAAATCGATGACGTCATCAGACGTAACCAAGCATTACGCGTTCAATTTGATAGTGCAAACATGTCCAACACACAAGGTGTCCATGCAACCATTTGACATGGGGTCGAAAGAAGGCTCCTCTGGATGACGTCAGCGGCCAACTTCAGTAGTAAAACACTCAGCCCGACCGTGACGTCACGGTACCCTTACCGCGCTGACGCAGACCGTTCCGGTCCCCATGCAGCTGCCGTAACTTGAGTCTACCGGGCACCCGGAGGTCAGCCCCTCGAGCGTAGCCTATGCGCGCACACGGGGCGGCCAGGACCAGTCGTAAAGGCACCATTACCACTCCGGACCGGACCGTTCCCTCGAACCTAAGACGGAAGCTGCCCCTTCTAGTCTCTAGCTTGACAGCTGCCAGCATGCCCGCAGGAAAGTGCTGCAAGCACCAAGCGCCAAGTGGTTTAGGCATGGGGTAAGTGATTGCGTCATGGCAGTTTTTCATACTCGCGAGTTGAAATCTAACAAAAGCATGTTTCCGGAGGTGCTTGAGCTTTTGGGGCCAACCAATCTTTGGGGCCAACCAATCTGCTTTGCTCTGCTTCAAAATTTCGAAGCTGTGGGTCTGCTCTGAATTGGTTTGTGCTTCAGTTGCTGTGGGCAAATTGATTCCTCTCTTATGTGTGTTTGCAGCTGTGACCAGCGGAGCTAATGCGTGATAAGTAATGGCAAGAAGCCGGCCTTGTGGCAGGTCCAAGTCTGATCATAGGGACTGCCAGGCTGCACGCTTCGCACGCGCTGCAGAGTATAGGGAGCGCATCACAATCAGTGCAGAAAGGCAAGAGATTCTGATCGCTGCTGTCAATGCGCAGAGCGATGATGCACCTGCCCCTCGTCGCCGGCGGTGCCAGCAGTCAAAGGGACTGAAGCATGAGGGGAAGCCTGCTCGCAAGTCCCCACAAGGCCAATTCTTCAGCGCTGCTGATCAGAAAGCGAAGCGGCAGAATGCGCGGGTGCTCAAAGAAGCTTTGGATTGGGCTGCAGAACGCAGTGAGCAAAAAGACTGTCTGTTTGCTTTTTCAAAAGCCAGCTCTTCTTAAGGTCAGGGAACCTGTGGTTGCTGGCCCTGCAAGCAGGAGGACCAAGGATCATTCTGTTTCGCTTTCAAAAAACAGACAAACATCAGCCCATCAAACATACCACTGTTTCAGGAAAAGAGTACATCCCAAATTGAACAGCGGATCGCTTATCTTTCATGAACATCGACAAGCAGATTCTTGAATGGCATGCCTGGGCGTGCGGGGGGGAAAGTGTACCAAGTTTTGACCACTTGATTCTTAAGATGACAATTGGCCATTTCATGGTACATTGCCAAAAGTCTGATGGCATGGCTGGGAGGTGAACCGAGGTCTGGCCAACCCTTTCCTTAAGGATAGCGCCAAAACTTGGTGGCATGACCGGTCCTGCATGCAGGGGTGTGGGGTAGTCGGATGGGCCCTGCATGATTCCCCTCTTCTCTTTCCAGACCCGCATGCCATTCACTGCCGCGAGTGCGACACGACCGCAGAATATGGGCTCTGCGGGAGCAAGAGGGGAGGGGCTGTTACATACTTCTACGAGAGCCACGGCCCATCAAAGGGTTGTTTCAAGATCGATGGGGACCGCGCAGGTGAGAGGACACACACACACACTCTGTGTGCAGCTATCGCTCGACCTGATCGTTCAGGCCTTTACATGGCGGCAGCCCTCACGCTGATCGCCCCCTTCTCCTATTACAGCATGGGATCAGGACGCTGATTGCCCCCTTCTCCTGTTGCAGCATGGGTTCAGGGGCGCGAGAAGGCGCGAGGGAAAGCGAACCATGCCTGTCCTGATGACGAGCAACCAGATGGGAGCCAAATCACCTGCTGCTCCTTGGTCATGGACAGCAGCGGCAGGTAAGTGCTCAGAATGTCAACAAGAAGCCTGCTTTTGCAGAGTGCCAGGCCAGCTGCTGTCAGACTGGTTGGCTTGCAAATGGAAGGTGATTCTTCTGGTTTGCGCAACATTGGGAGGTCTTCCAAGCGGCGCCCCAAAAGCAGTGTTCCAAGGAAGAACGTTTTGTGGAACGTCAACTCTGCAGCTTATCACGGACGTGTACCAAGAAACCACCTCTTGCTTGTTAAGAATTTTAATGGGTGTTTCTTGATACACAGATCTTGTCAGCTATGGCCGGGGCAGAGTGCATGCCCTTGACATGTCGCACGATTCGGAGGACTACTGCAGGTTCCCTGCTGGCATCTGACCCCTTTGAGCGCCTCCTTTCCAGAGTCCGCGTGCGCTGACCGCAGTGCCCAGCACAGTCCCACCGCAACTGTCCCCCGTGCGACCGCCAGCGACTCTCACTCGGACTGCGATCTTGGCGCAGCCTGCCATCAGCACACCGCCAATGACGAGGCGCAGCCCGGGCAGCCTCCCGTCCACGGCGCACAAGGCCTGTGCGCGCTGTTTAAGCGGGAGCGCCAGGTTTGGGGTTCAGCCGACTGCCACGAAGAGCGTGCTGGTGAGGAGCGCATTGCAAGGTGAGCGACAAACCCTCCTTTCAACGACGTCTGATCTCGTGTTAGAATCTGGCGGTGCTGGGGAAGGCGCATGTTTTTCCTTTCGGACATCCAAAGCCGGGTAAGATGCTGGGCCAGATTACTGCAACTCAGATGAGCGCCCCTGCTTTGGGCTTGCAGCGGGCTGTGTTCCAACTTTCTTTCAGTGGGCATGCAGCGGGCTGTTTCCTAACTTTCTTTCAGCCACTGAACTTGAGTATACCTACTTACATACGCCCCGTATTGAATGATCAGCGGCGTCAGTCAGTCTTGTGACTGACCATTCCGCTCTTCTCCGCTCTTGTAGCTTCTCCGGCCTACTGGGGCGAGTCCGAGGTGTTCTGGTCGTCAGGTCCACTGACCAAGGGTCTAATAGGTGAGGACTTGGATAGAGTTTCGCAGTCACCGCATGGCATCCCACGCTATGTTGCCAATAGCATATGTTGCCAAACCTGCATCAAAAATCTGTCGGCCGTGGGGCATCCTCGTGTCCACTTTTTGAGCGTTGTGTCACTGCCATGCAGACACCCTCCTCATGATTGGGGGAATTGAGAGCAACCCGGGAATGTATCAGAAGCCGTACACCCCAAGTGGCTTAGCAGAAGGACCCAAGTTCCACATTCCGCCGTGGCAGGTAAGCAGCGATCTATCGGTAAACTGAGAGCCATGTCACGTGCTCCCATGTAATGCACTCGTGTCACTGTTCACGAGTATGTGAGAGCGAAAGTGATTGCGTCGAACACTCATGACATCCTCGTCATGCAGGAGGTTCAGGAGAGTGCCCGGCCAAAACCTCCTGACACTCAGCGCTTCTTCGAAGAGTGGAAGAAGGTAAATGCTCGTCGGTATGGCCTTTGTCTACAGCAATGTTCTTTTGCATGCATGATTCCTCAAGCCTGTGGCATTTTCTGATTGATGGTGCTCGTGCGCACTGCAAAACTTGCACCTTTCTATGTGTCGCAATTGAACATTCTTTTCTCATGCACAGAACCGCAATCAAGGGGCAGAGGCATCAACCCGCTCTGCAGACCAGCCGGCCCAGCCCCAGGAGCTGGAGCAGCTGCTTGTGTCAGGCGGCGGCGGCGAGCCGGACGGCGAGCAGGTCAGTGTCGAGTGCCCTCAGCAGCTTCTGAGTGGAAACGTTGGCCTCAAGTGTTCGTAGTTTGAGCGCACATGATCCCAGTGCTGGCCTCTTCGTCGTTCTTAGAATTTCGCAGTGGGTATGCTCAATTAGGTATAAGCAGCTTTTGCGGGGCATGGTCGTCTGGTATGGTGTACCCATTGGCGGGCAATTCTTTATAAGATTCAAACGTCGGCCAGTGGGTACGCTCTATCTCGGGTGGTATGGCCGTCGACAGGGCCTTTTTGCAAGTGTACCCAGCACTGACGAATTGATTCTTAGAGTCTAATACCCGCCAGTGGGTACGCTCTATCCTGCCTGGGATGGCCGTCGCCCCTTCACACAGTGTACCTAGTGCTGTCGAATTGGTTCTTAGACTCATATTGACCACCAGTGGGTACGCTCTATGACGGGTGGTATGGTCGTCACTCTTTCCCTCCATCTGGACTCATTGCCGGCCATCTCGCGCACGCGCAGGGCGGCACTGCACTGGCACCCTCCCCGGCTCTCCCAACAGCTGACGCCCCCCCTACCTCGGAGCCGCTCCAGTCCGCCGCTCTACCTGAACACGCCTCGGATCCGCAGGTATGTCCTGCCACTCGTCAGTTCTTCAGGATCTATGCGCCAGTCCCTTCAAAGGTTTGCCCTTGCGCCCAAAATTAGACCAAATGCGCGAAAGCGAGTAAGCGCAGTATGGACTTGTCATCAACCTCTGCGTACGAATCTTCTTTTTCTGTACCGTGCATGCTCGCTCTGTCCGTTTCGAGTTGGCAAATTGCGACAGAAAGCCGTACTTATGCCCATCTGCGCTTGTCTCGCTTGTGCGCAGATCGAACCCGCCGGCAGAGTTGCAGAAGCGCCCCCTGCGCCCCCCCGGCACGGCTGATGCACTCCAGCTGACAGAGCCATTGTTGTCGGCTGCCCCTACTGAAGCGGCTCCCGAAGTGATGGTGAGAACTGCTCTGGCTCGAGTGTGGGGGCCGCACGTGATGACAACTTTTGAAGTCCTTTGACGAGTACTTTTCACGGGTTTCTGAGAATCGCCTACAGGTGCACACCTAAAGCGTACCCACTGCCAGCCATCTCTTTCGAAGAATCCCAATGCGCGCCAGTGGGTACGCGCTGTCTTCGCAAATCTGGCCGTCCGTGTTTTGCTTGGTGTACGGTCCACTGCCGGCCACCTCTTTTCAAGAATCCCAATGTGCGCCAGTGGGTACGCGCCGTTCTCACAAATCTGGCCTTTCGCTTTTTGCTTGGTGTACCCACTGTCGGCCATTTCTTTTTGAGTATCCTAATGCGTTCTAGTGGGGACTTGACAGACATGACAGCCTGGGCACTTCCTGCTCGGTGTACCCACTGCCGGCCATCTCTTTCTAAGAATCCCAATGCTCGCCAGTGGGTACGCGCCATTCTAAGTGGGATTGGGGATGCCCACCCACCTTGGGAACCACTTGCCGGCTGCCAGACGGCTGAAATTTGTCTTCAATCGTGCAAGCAACCTTCGGTTGGCCCCATGGTCGCGAGCTAGAGCTCACTCACAACTGTCGACCTTGCATGGTGCGCAGGAAGCACCTGCCGCGGCGCTGCCAACAGCTGACGGCCCCCCTGCAGCAGAACTGCCCATGCCGCCTCTGACCGACTTTTCCAAAGGTGCTTTAGGAGCTGAGGTACGCAAATCCCTCACGAAGTGTGTGGCCCAGCCCTTTGCTTAATTGTAGATTCGCTTTGCATGTCGCTAGAGCACGAAATTGAGTGCGAATCTGACTCCCCTTTTACCCGTCATCATTAGGATCCATGTTGTAGCTTAGGGTCGAATTGCACGTGACTCGAGTTTCGGGTCAATTGTGATTAGGGTCCAAGGTTTTATGATCTTTAGGAGTTTAGGCTTTTTGGCTTGCAATTTTCAAGGGTTTAGGGGATCTGGCGCCAGATTTGCAGGTCTGGTTGACCAAAACATGTCAGGGTCAACTCTATAGGTCAATCATGTCGGGTTGAGAGTCGAGAGTCCTGAACACGCGCCCCCCTCCCTCCCCCCGCTTCACTTGTCACATCTCATAAACCCCCATTTCCTTCCGTTACTTCCCTGGGCAGTCCTTGATGGAGGCTAACTCGCTCTGAGCTTGCAGACAGCAACCCGGGGGCTGGACGTAGGCGCCGCGCTCGAGGCCTTGATTGCACATGCCGAAGCTCAAATGAACGCGCCCGCATCGAGTGGAGGAACTAAGAGGCTGTCGGAGCGGGTCAGGCTCCTTCGCGCTCAGTGTACCTCATTCTGTACGAGCTACGCAGGGTGTGATCTACGCTTTGCGATCGAATCGTTGAGATGGACCGCCAATTTGACCTCTCCGAGTCTGTTCATGCGTGATCTTTGTACTGATATTAAAGAGGGTTATGCAGGTGTCTCCGGTAGCTGGCCCTTCGAAGAGAAGAAGAAGACTCGTGAAAGTCTCAGAGAGTACCAGCGGCGTTGCGGCCGAGCCAGCTGCAGGCACAGTCGCTTCTCGCATCGGGTGAGCCCATGCGCTGACTTTTTGGGACACGCAATGCGTGTCAAGCCACTCATCAACGAGCCGGACCTGCCGTGCAACAGACATTGACATCGTGCCGCCTAAAAGCAATCGTTTGTGCAGAACTCGTTAGTGGTCCATGAGATGATGCAACCTTTGCTCTGCTCGTGCTCAGCGGTGAAGACCTGGAGGAGCGCGTGCGCGGAGCAGTTGGACCGGCTGGGGGCGACGCTGTGCCAGGTGGAGGAGCGGGTCAAGGGCGAGATCGTGGTCACGCGGCGCACGACGTACGCCGTCTCCAAGATGGAGAAGGAGAAGCAGGAGCAGAACCTGCTGATCGACCAGCTGCAGGTGAGGGCGCTGGGGGGTGGACAGCACGTTAAGTAATGTCTCGTGTTAGCCCAAGATAGTAGTTGCTTATCGTTACAGGGGGATTTGAATTCCTCATCGAAACGCCGAGTTTCTCAGCCAATCAGGTACCAGCATGCAGATCCGTGGCTTCACCGCCCTGGCCTTTCTTGAAAAGAAGTACTCACGTTGGTTGGTCGATTAGATTTAAAATCCCTGTCAAAGGGCGCTTTGCTCCTCAGAGCTTGTGGGTGGGTTCGGAAAGTGTGTCCGAGTAGCTTACTTTCGCAGCGGCCACGACTCGCGGTCAAAGTTGGGTTGCGAACTACAGCAAGTCCGTGTCGATTCTGGATAGTCTGGATAATTCAGTGCTTCATAAGATGAGCAGCCTGAGCGAGCGAGAAAGAAGGATTGTTCTTTTCACTTCGGTCTTGAAAAGCCGTCTCTTGGTCAAAGCTCCTTGATGTCCTGCTCCTCTGCCCCGACCTGCAGCCCCGTTCACATCTCAAAAAGAGCCCAAAATGTAAAATCCCCAGGACTCGTCCCGCAGGTGCTGGAATCGCGGATGCCAAAGGGCCTGAGCGAGCGCACGAGCGTGAAAGAAGAGTTCGAAACACCTTTGCAATGCTTCTCCTCAGAGTTTTCAAAAGCTCCCTGAGCCCGTCAGAACCTTTACTACTCCAAACCCGGATCATAATCTTTTCACAATTCTGTCCTACAGGAGCTGGAGTCGCACGCGATTTGTCCGAGCAGGCCACGGGCAGCCGTCGCAGCAGGCGCAGGGCAATGAAGGAGCGGGTGGTTGCTGATTTCTTTGGGGAGTGCCAGCAGCAAAGAGCTACCTTGGCAGCCCGAGAGGAGGAGACGTTCGGCCCACCCTCCTCTCCAGCTCGACACGATACCCCCTCCCCGCCTACTCGACATGGCTTTGCTGCAGATTTTCAAGCTTTGGAGACCTTGGAAACGTGAGCTTTTGCCATCACCCCCTGGTCTTCTCTACTCTGTTTCTGCTGATGTTTATGTGAGCACTGTATGAGCACTGAAGTTGCTGCAATCAATGAAGTCCTTCAGCAATGATCAAGAACCGTGTTTCAATTACAATTCTTGGCAGTGTGCCTTGTTTCTTTGTTTCTGACCACAGATTGTGTCAGATTGCCTCTGCATATGCTCACATGTAGTTGTGGGTTAGCTTCTTGATTAGTTTTAATCGCTTTTCTGCTGTGGGAGCAATCTTTAACGGCTCTCTTTGTAATTTTGCGCAGCGACGGAGCCGAGGCTCAAGAGCAAGAGCCGGTCCAAGAACCGACCCCAACAGCAGCAGCGCCAACTCGAGTCGCCGCAGCGCCCAGCCTGATTGACCTCAGCGCTTCCTTTGACGGAATACGGGTGCCTCCGCCCGCCCTGATCTGAAGCTTGCACTGGAAACGAGGTCTTCAAGTCCGGGGCTTACAGCGTTGTGCGCAAGGCAAAGCATGGCACGACCCTGTTCCATGCGACAAGCTCAAAGGAGGATAAGTCGCTGCCAGGTCCCAAGCACTTCATGCAGCAGCATGCCAGCCTCTTCAATCACGAAGCGCAGGTCGTGTTGCACTCCCCATCTCAGAAGCTCGATGAGCTTGGTCGGCCAATCCCTTACCGCAGCTTTGCCTCGTACCCAAGCTGGGAAATTGCTGAGCCCCATCTTCAAGGGCATAAGCACGTCTTTGAGATCGTCCGTCACGGCTTCCCGTGCAAGCCGTACTTGGACATAGATGGCAAGGACGGGCATCCCTTCAGGACCGGAGCCGACGGAGTCAGGGAGCAGATGAGCACCGAGGCAGTGATTCGCGCCTTGGAAGAGTGGATCTCTTCGCGCTTTGAGTCCGATTATGGGCTGACCTTGCCGAGCAAGAGCTTCGTCTGGCTGACAAGTGGGAACCAGACAAAGTTCAGCCTGCACCTGGTCATAAGCACACCTTCCCCCCAGTTCGTTTTTGCTTCAAATCTCGAGGACGGGGCGAAGCATCTGGCGGAGCGCCTGAAGGAGAAGATCAAGCCGTGGTCGCCGGATCTGGCGGCGATGATCGACCTGAGCGTCTACTCCAAGGACCGGGATTGGCGCGCCCCTGGGTGCTCAAAGGTTGAGAAACCTGAGAGCACCTTGCAGTTCATCAACCTGGCGCATACCTGGCGGGACGGACTGGTGACGTGGCTCGAGCCTCCGAGGGTAAGCGGTTGTTTCGTCCTTCAAGAAGCGACTGTGATTGTTTTGAAAAGCAGTCACTTTCCTCGAAGGTTCCCGCCTGATTTCCTACCGTCTTGGCAGCTGCAGCTTCAGCCTTGACCGATTTCCAAACCGTCCGACTTTCTTCATTTCGGTTGCAAGCCGTCAGCAAGCCGAGGTCTGCCCCTTCTGTGGTCGTGTCTGCTCTAATTAGGAGTCTTCTTTATGTATCCGTTCAAAAAGGTGGTCCTTGTCTTCAATTGCCCAATTGTCTTTCGTTTCGGCTGACAACAGGCTGCCTCCGGCGAGGTGAGGGCTGCTTAAAGTTCTCTGGTCCTGTCCGCTCTACTCAGAATTCTGCTTTGAGTTCCCGGCTAAAAAGGTGCTCCTCGGATCAGATTGTAGAGCGTTCTGACCAGAAAAGTGGTGTGCGACGATCGACTCAGCGTTTGCTATATGCTTGGCCGCGCTTCAATGCACCTATGCGCACAAAGTGGAGACCTGACCCTCTTTTGTTCCCTTGGCAGGCGCGGCAGGTCATCAAATTGCCGTGCGTCGTACCCGCTGGCTTGCCTCGTGCACTCCGGGCGCCGCAAGGGCCGCGCGCGCTGACAGAACTTGGAGCGCAGGGCGAGCGCTACACCGACTTCGTTCGGGAGCGCATGCTGGTCCTTCTTCGTGAGAAGCTGCACCCCACCGCATACCGCGAGGGGCCTGACCGGTACAACTACACCGACCGGTTGGAGCCCTGCTACACCGGGCGTCTCCATGACAACAACCAAAACCTCACGCTGCACCTGGGACCAGACGGCAACCGGATCTTTGCGCTCTGCTTCAGCGTGAACCCGGAGGGGGGGCACACGAGCGACACCTGTCGCTCGAAGGCCTTCTTTCTGGGCAACCTGTACGAGGAGGAGGAGACCTTCCGAGCCGGGGCAGTCGTCATCGACGTGCCGTTTCTGCAGAGAAACAAGGACGCAAGCTCGCCTGAGAAGCTGGCGGCGGTGGAAGCGGGGCGCTCTGCCCCAACTGACGAGCTAAAGCTGAACGCCGTCATTGACCAGTAAGTGTTCTACTATTGCAATCTGCAATTTGGCAGGAGGACAGGCAATTTGAACACGTCTTTTGCTCCTTCAAAGGCGGCCCGTCTTCCCGTTTCTCCTCCAGGTAAAACCTGTCTGCTGAAGAGCTTCTCTTGGGTTTCTAGGTTCTCGGGTTGTCGAACTTTTATGTTTCAATTCGGTTCGTGGGGCGGATGGAAGAACGGAACACCAGTCCATTCGTGCTCATATCGTCGTTGTCGTTGTCTGGCTGCGATGTACGCGCCCGCTAGCCAATTGATGCCAAATTTAAGGGTCCAGATTGCTCTGACGCCAGGCTTTCTTGCAAGGAGATATGCTGCAAGTCGTGCCATCTTCGAGAGTCCTCCGACACTCCACTGCTCTTCTCCACAGGTGGCTTGGGTCTCCGCCCTCATTGGGAGGAGACTGGGTCCCGGAATTCCCCTTGCTCTCCATCCGCTCCACTGTCGGCACCAACAAAACCGGCCTCACCAGCCATCTCATCTACCACGAGCTGAATGGTGCTCACCCTGGGCGTCCTCCGACAATCCTTTTCATCTCGTACCGCGTAGCCCAGGCAAAGGATTTGAAGGAGCGCTTTCCTGGTTTCCGCAACTACCTCGATCTTAAAGCGGACTTTCAACACCAGCGTTGGGACAGCCCTGACAGGCAGTGGAGTCTTACGGCTCTGCAGAACCGGCAGCTCTTTCCTCACATCGTCGTTCAGGTCGACAGTCTGCTCCAGCTTCGGCCGCACGGTTTCGGCCCGGTGCCTCCCTTTGACCTCGTGGTCGTAGACGAGATTGCGAGCATCTTGGCCCATCTCTCCTCCAGCACTCTCCGCCGCGGGCAAGAAACCAGCGAATTTCTCCTTGAGCTGATCCCGAACGCCCGCAGGGTTCTCGCTCTGGATGACGGCTATGCGCAACGAGAGCACGACTTCTTTGAGATGGCAGGCCTCCGCAGAAAGTTGGTCATCAATGATAGAGGGGCGGCCGTGCCCCGGACCTACCGGGTGTGCAGTGATGCGAACGCCTGGCAGGCTCAGCTGCTCGAGGATCTCCGGCAAGGGCGAAACGTGGCGGTGGCAAGCATGTCGTCCAATGCGATTAACAGCATCCGGGAGCGCGTTCTCGAGTTGGGGCTCCTTGAGGAGCGCGACATCTTGGTGCATACGGCCCTCAGTTCTGGCGACGACATGCGAAAGCTGGAGAACGTGGGCATGCACTGGAAAGTGCGGCTCCTCATGTACAGCCCCAGCATCGAGGCCGGGGTCAATTTTGACCACGACTGGTTCCACGCAATGTACCTGTACATGTGCCTCAAGAGCACGACGGCCCGGGCACTGTGGCAGGCCTCTCTGCGCGTGCGACGCGTCGAGCGGCCCCTGATCCTGTGCTACGCTCAGGGGGGCATCTCCCTGCTGGTGGAGGACGCTGTCTACGTCCCTTTCGAGAGCCTGGGTCTTCCCTTTGAGCAGGTCGGTGGATCGACCAAGGCCAACTTCAATCGCAGGCTCAAGAATCTGGCGCACACCTCCATTCAACTGCCAATTCGGCGTTCATCTTTCCAGCTGTTTTAAAGGAACGCGTGTGAGGTCCTTTGAATTGTTCTCTTTCCCTTCCTGCAGGCCGCGGCCTCTAGAGGTGGGCTGTCCTCGGAGCGCACGGTAGCAGAGCCCCCGGAAGCTGTCAGACGACCAGAAGAGGTAAGCTCCTCTGTTGCAAATCCAGGTAGATTAGCCTCATCTCACGACTGCAAGCTTTGAGAAATACTGCCCGCTATCAATTTGTGAAGCGTTGTTGTTAACATGCCTGCTGCGAAGCGTAGAGTCTTGCAACTTGACTGGATAGGTCCAGGCCGTTTGGCCCCCACCTGAAGTTTGATGACCTGTGCCTAGATCTGGCGCAGGCTTGCCCATCCGCACAGCCTGGAGACAATGAGAACCAGGAGCGGACGGGAACTGAGGCTTTGGTAGAATCGGATCCTTTGAAAGAGGTAAGCTCAAGTGTCGTGTGCACCCTGTTAGCAACCGACTGGCGGGCGTTGACCCTCCGCTGTTCTCGTGGATAATAGCCTGCAATTTTTGACTGCCGTCATTGTTTTAGAGCCTTCGAGCTTTTGAGCTGACAAAGACGGGCCTAGGTTGCTTGGCTTTCATCGATCACTGCAGTCTGTGTCCTCGATTGCGCAGGCTGGTCCCTCCGCGCAGCCTGGAGATGGTCGAATCAAGATGCGCATGGCAGCAGAGGCTTCGGATGCGGCACCAGGCGCCTTGGGAGAGGTGGGCGTCCCCGTATCGGCTTCTCTGGTCTGGCGCGTGCAAAACCGTCCAGTGACAGTGCCAAGCTAGTTCTCGCATGCAATTGTGGCTTCGGTTTTGTCTGTCGGCATCCTTCAATGCCTTTTTTTCAAATCGATCATGACAAGCCTAGAGTGCTTGATCTCTGCAGTCGAGTCGCTTACGCGCTTATATCTGTTTGTTTGTTGTGCAGTTCGCGCAGCCCGAGGTTGGTGAGCTTGAAGAGGGGACGGAGCTCGAGGATCCGGAAGCGGCACCAGGTGCTTCGAGAGAGGTGGGCGTGCTCGTCACGACCTCATTGCGGCTACTCTGTCCAATTCAGTGCAAGCCTTGTCAGTGGCGGGTGCCAAACTGCTGCCAGAATGCAGATTGGTTGCGAGTTTGTTCACAGCACTTTCGGCGCAGTGTACCCAGTTGTTGCGGCTTGTTCTTAAAATCCTAATGCCTGTCAATGGGTACGTGCTATCTTAAGTGGTATGGCCAACACTTTTCAGCACGGTGTACCCACTGCCGGCCATTGATTCCCTCTAATCTCGATGCCCGCCAGTGGGTACGCGCTATATCGAGTGGGATTGCCGTCACACTTTCCGCATCTGTAGGGCATCCTTCAGAGCCTCTTCAAACAGACCAAGACAGGCCCCAACTGCTTGAACTTTGGGGTCTGAGTGTTTCATGAGCTTGCTTGTATGCAAGACTGATTCGTAACTCTCTCGACTGCGCAGGCTGGGACCATCGGGGTTGGCCCTGCAACGGAGCTCCAGGAGTCGCGACCCGCTCCCACACGAAAGGTGAGCTCGTTCGTTCAGGACATTCTTGTCAACGGTGTTGGCATGCTCTTTCTGCTGATGAAACCGCCCAGGAGCAGCGACTTCAAAGACCTGATTTTTTTTTTTTCGCCCAAGTGTCATCAATGCGCACCTCAGTCGGACTGATTACAACTTCCCTCGAGCAGGAAAGTACATTACCCGTTTAACCCAAAGCTCTGGCTTAAAATCCCTTCTGGTATTTGTGGGTACAACACGCGTCTGCTTTTTGACCGGGTCTTTCTCTTTAGTGGAGGGCTTTGAGCGAATGATATTGGACGCTTGAAGTAGTGCGCTCAGACAGTTGCATAGAGACGAGGCTCATAACATGTCCTCATGTCGAATTGTTGTAAAGATCTGGTTTGATTAAGCGCCCCTTCGTTCATTACGCAGGGCATGTTCCGGCCACCCCGACCTGTGTACCTTCGGGAGACGCTGGCGTACCTTTCCTTCTGCGACACCAAGCGGACGGAGCTCATGCGGACTGTCAAGGTCCGGGCGCAAGACGTGGGACCTGTCCACATCAGGGACCACGACTTTCTACGCACGCTTGCGCACACTGAGGTTGAAAGGCGCAACTCGAACACCCGGTTCGTGCACGAGTTCCGAGCGCAGATCGCAAAGGCTGGTCACACGCTCGAGATCGTCCTCCCAAAAGAGGAGGGTGCCTCGACGCGGCTCCTCCCCTCCACTTTCGACCTTCAGAGGCTGTTTTCTGCCAGGGCTCTCCGGGCTGACGAGTACAGCGAGCTTAGGGAAAAGCGGAACTTTGGCCGGGACGAGGGAGATGAGAAGCTGGCGGTCGCGCGATACGAGTGCCTTAAATTCTACGGCCTCAAGCAGGTCTCGAGCTGGACGGACTTCAGTGACTTCTTTGTGACGCTGGCTTGCAAGCGTGTCAAGCAACCCTTCTACGGCGAGCTGACCTTTCTCCTCAAGGTTCTGGTGGACCAGAATTTTGAGGAGGGGGGGCATGGGAAGGTCATGCACGACCGGCTGATGGCGAAGGTCGCACGGGAGGTCATCAAAGCGATGGGGTTGGAGCACCCCTTTGACACGAACCCCACACGTTCGTTGAAAAAGGATGGGCTTCGGGACGCTCTCCTCCAGACGGCCTTTTTCAAGCGGGAAGCGGACTCGATTGCGGGCAAGTGGGCGTCCGAGCTGTTTGGCGGGATCAAATTCCCTCCGCGGAACGAGGAGTGGACGGGGGAGAGGTTGCAAGACGCGCTGAACAAGCTGTGGGGTCGCATGGGCCTTCAAGTGAGGCTGCGGGAGGTCAAGGGGAGCCGGGGGCGCTACAAGAAGGGGGTGTCACGAGCGGGTAAGAAGGACCACACCCTCGTTTTGGACGCTGACGGGGTGGACCGCATGGGCAAGCTCGCCAAGCTGCAGTTCCGGGAAGTGCACATCTGGTGGAAGCATCGGCTTGAGCTCGAGCCCAGGGTTCGCGAGTTTCTAGATTCGGTTGATGTGTCCAGCTTCGATCCTCTCCTGGCCCGACCGTCGGGCCACCCCCTTTTGGCAGAGGTGACCGACCCGGAGCCCGACCCAGTCGTGAAGTGTGAGCTTAGCATTCCGGCGCCCCGGCGTAGCAACGAGTCTTAGCAGGCCTTTAAGGTATTTATCCTGAGGCTACACAGGCTGCTCACATCATCATCAGTTATTGCCCTAAGGCACACACGAGGTGTTGAATTGTAATCCGAGTGCTCATTAGGATGCAACAACTAGCGGATGCTTCTGTAATTCGAAATCACGCACCACCCCCCCTTTGCACATGTACCCGGCAGCTTTCGATTCTTTCTAGAGATCCTCATGCCTGCTAGTGGGTACGCGCTATCAATCGCAAGGAAATTGAGTGGT